GACTTTTTATTTAGGTCTCTAGTTATGCTAGTTTGTATTGTGTTATGTAATAAATTATTTACAGTCAATCACAATATTAAAGGAATATATATATATATTTACAAGAGAGAAAAAGAAGAGAAATTGTTCTTATTATAGAAGTGGACATTTACAAGAGAGAAAAAGAATTCTGTCCTCTGAATAATGAAAATAATTAAAAATTAATCCACATATTACATATATACCAAATATATAGGAGACATACATTCCATAATACATAAACCCATTTGTTTTTGAGGGAAGATTCGTCCAAATAGTGTGGTTATAAGATAATGTTAAGATAACAAATTAACCCCAGCACTGAAAACCAATGTATCCAGTGGCAGTGCTGAAGGTGCGAGGACGGCAGCTATAGGAGGTATATACATGTCCTTAATTTACAGAACTTTTACAATACTGGGGCCACACCGGGCCTTTCTCTTATACTGTCCGTTTCTCTTACTGTAGCCCTTTTCCTTTTTGACACAACGATAATCACTTTTTCTCCTTGCATTTCAGCTTCCACAAACATCTCACGAACATCTTGGTCAGACGTTATTTGAATTAGAAGCTCGTTGTTCCCAACAATGTCGGTGATCTCCTGTTGTAGAATCTGAGCGTTGGCTTTAATCCCAATGTAACAATGGTCTTGTATTGCAAATTTTATGCTTGATAAGGTAGCGTCAAACGAGGAGCATCGGTACAAAATATCATCGCCAAATCTCTTTACCAAAAACGTCTTCGTTGCGGATTCATTATTGTTCTCGTCTTTAATTTTATGGTTTCCGCATCGAGTGTATGCCAAAGCCTCTGCTGCCGTCGGTCGTCTGTTCGGGTCCTTCTGCAGTAGCCTCCCAATCAGGGTGGCCACTCTTTGGTCCTGATGGTACAAATGTCGAGCAGCGCGTTTTCCTTCTCGCAATGCCAAAATGTCCTCTTTCATTTGATGTCTGCTCGGGAGAAAACGATTAAGTACATATAACACAATGCCAGCACTGTAAAGGTCTACCTTATAGTCATAATTTTCTGTCAGGAGCTCCGGCGCCTTGAACAGCTCATCCCCTAGACCTGGAGATAGTTTCTCGAGTGTTGGGATGTCTGTCACCCCAGTAGATCCATATTGCGTTCCAATAAACCGGGCAAGTCCAAAATCAGCGATCTTGACAAAAATATCACTCATGCGTTTTGGATTTGGCTTTGCAATGAGAATATTACCAAGATGAATATCGCGATGTACCCAGCCGTTTGAATGAATAGCGATTAAGCCATTCAAAATCTGTGAGAAAACGTGTTCATAAAATCGTGGCGAATCTGAAGCTTTGATTATTTCGGCGCCACCCATACCATTCCCATCGTACATAAACGTTTCCAAATTTACCGAACACAACTCCATTTGAATACATAATAGTCGTTTGCTGTCGTGTTGCATTATCCAACTCTTGAAATATTTGATAATGTTTCGATCCGACAGTTCCAATTTTGTAAGTAACGCTAGCTCTCGCTCATGATATTTCATGCCTGCCTCTTTGAACGGAGGGACAATTTTTATAGCATATAATTTTCCATCACATCGACATCGTGCTTTTACTACTACTCCAAATGTACCTTCACTAAGCAAACTGTTACAGCAGACATGAAATCCATCTTGATCTAGAGCTCTTTCGAAGCCAAAATTCATCTTAAGAGCCGTGATTTAAAAGAACGTAAATTAATTTAGAACGAAATTGCGTTACATACTTGAAATAACAACCGATGCTATATATTGTCGTTGTTATTGCCGTTACGCTCCGTGATTGTTATTTTAATGTGTTCATAATAGCAGGCTGTGACATTACTCAGACAGAGCACGGTTAATATTAACCGTGGACAGAGCCATCATCATGTCCCAACCTCGTCCCAGGCTTTTTCCTAAAAAGCCTGGGAAGGAGGTTGAACATGTTCGACCAAAATGAAATTCTACCTCGCACTTGCATCCACGCAGAGGTCACGTGAGATAGCAATAATTAGATATCCATGAGGTCAGCGGGAGTTTGAGTTACTGTCGCGGGTAAAAAGTCGCGTGCGGCCACGATACCATTATACACGTCATGGTGAGCATTCGTTTTATGTTTCGGTGTTTAGTTTACCTCGGGCAAATATAAATTCCGGCACATGCGCGTTGAACCAGGGTCGAACTAAACAGATTAACTCATTTCTGTAATCATCAGTCAAATTGGTTTTCGAAAAATCTTTCACACAACAGATCATTTATTAGTTTTAACTCTGATAGATTTTTCTAAGTCAAAACGTAAACCAATTTTTACTTGTTTTATCGACTTTAGAAACGCCTGGGGAGAAGGCCTTTTCTTCAAACTTATCCATTACGGTTGTATAGTAAGAAATTCATACGTCTAATTCTCAGTATTATTCGGAAGTACTCCATTTTTTAAGTCTCATATTGGAGTAAAACAAGGACGTAGTTTGAGTCCTACTTTATTCAACATGATTATAAATGATATACCTAAATTATTTCATAATAGTTCATGTACTCCAGTGAAACTAGGTGAAACAGATTTAAATTGTCTACTTTACGCAAACGACTTTGTCATATTATCTGAATCCAAGTATATAGTTTACAAAATTGTCTCACGAAACTTGAATTTTACACCAGTAAAGTAAGTTGCTTTACTGCAGTCCTTTTCTGGGCTTTACTGGCTACTGTTCTTTGCATACTTCATACGACAAGGAACCATTACTATCTTAGCCCTACATGTCCCGTGTGTTTTAGTATTTTCCCCCGGTCCCACCAGGAGAGCCATGGCACACCAGCATTGCTATAGTCTGTGAGAATTGCGTGAGATATGTACATGCAGATGTACTGTATTTTCATGATACGTAATGGTGTTTTTTCTACTTATATAGGTATAAACGTATTGGTATCATTGGTGCTATAATGATTGTACGAAGTATGGCTAAACCCAGGTTGGTATTTTAAGCAACCGTACTTTATTTATTTATTTATTTATAAATTCAGTATAAATTATTACAAATAGATTATAATAGTTCCACATGGCAGAATAACAAGAGGAGGACACGAAGTCCCTTTCGAGGTCAAATTCTTAAAATTGAAGAGCAGTGCAGGATTCTTGCAATATTTCAGACAACCTAGTGTATACGAATTGTCTCAAACGTGAAGGTGGGGGTAGGTTTCTACAATAGTTGTTTTACTGGTTTGTGTCTGAACTACCTGACAAAGGCATTAAAGACTGTTTTTGATCCTTTAAAGTATCTTTAAAAGTGATCTTTTTTTCAGTGCATGAGCTCTGACCAAACCGAACCCTTATCTTTATGAATTGACTGTTTGCTTCATTATGTATTTAACTAAAACATTGTTTTGACTACTTTTACAGTCCTGGGGAAGACACTCCAACGGATTCAAGTAGTTCACAACCAATAATTGTCATGAGGCAAGCATAGTACCATACTGTAAGAATGATTATGAAGTGAAAAAAATGCTGGTGCATGGTCTACTATAGATCCAAGATAGTGACTCGTGGGGAACAATGCTTGTGATAAAAGAAACTGTAGTTCATTATTCTCTCGGTTTGTTTCAAGTTATCTTCGTGGGGTAGGTTGTTCGGCTTAACCCCAGTTTAACCTAAATTCCAAAGCAAACTTCCTGACAGTTTGTATATAAATTTGGAAATATTTTTTCATAGATCTTGTCTGGATCGATAGGAGTTTACTTCTCTAAAGTTTCGAAAGAAACAGACGTGCAGAAATACACAAACTAAAACAGCAGATTCAATTTTAAGCGAGGGTTAGGGCTAACCCACCTTTGAACAACCGGCCCTGGATGTCATGCTTATTTTAAGCCATGGGTCTATTAGGAAACCTCAATGCAAGGTGAAGTTAAAGGGGACAACAATTAGAGCAACCAGGATAAGAGACAAGAACATGAATAGTATGCAACATGAACAGCAACGTAATTCATTTCGTTTTACACAGGTGGTCAGTCTGTTGGATTTGGTCCGTAATAGTATCAATCGTGTTCCTGAAGCGGCTGCGTTGTTTTACGACGAGATTCCACATTACCAAATAACCAACTACAATTTGCAGGCAGCGATATCTAACTTAATATTCTCCCAATCATATTTCCAATCATAACCGTTATCTTATCCCTAACCCTACAGTAATCGTGCCTTTATCCTAAGCCAAACCTTATAGCAATTACCTTAACCCTGTTCAACTCTCCTTCAACTTCTCTAATGGTCCCCTTATGGTAGCCAAAGTCAAATCTGAACCTCCATACTTTGGCTGTGCAGTGCAGTGAAAAAGGGGTTATTAGTTGTGTTGAAGCGGATAGAAATAACATCAAGGAAGACCAAGCCTGAAAATAAATTTCCAACGGTGCCTGGATGTCTTGTTTTAGTGGCTGAAACTAGAAGAAGCGTACGAACAAGATAAACACACTCTACTGGCGTTCACTCAAAGAGGAGGTGTTCTCAGCCTCTTGTTACATAGAGAATAATACATGGGTGCGCGGAAATACTAGATTTATCACGAGTGAGCGCAGCGAACGAGTGAGATATCATGTTCAACACGAGAAATAAATCTGGTATTTCCAAGCACCCATGTATTTTTCTGTTTATTATATAAACAAAATTCAGTGAAAAACAATAAAACGTCTGTGGCAATGCGTTTTACAACAAATGATATTTTCACACGTAAAAATATCGTATTTTTTACGTGTGTTTAAATACATTTTTCTCAGTGGCCAAAGATTTTCATGACGTATGTTACCTTTAATGATCCAAAGGATACATGCTCAAAAATTTTAAAGTGGAAACGTCAAAAACTCAGGTATAGATAAGAAATTAAAAATTGTATTCGCGTAGTTTATAATATTCAGCAAGTTTTAAAGTTTATTCTGAACTTAGTGTCAAAGTGAGTTCTTTAACTTTCGGTATAATATATAATTTATAGACCCTCCGCTCCGGGGATTCGGCGATATTTCCCTCAGTGATGATATTTTCCTCGGGGCAAAGCCCCTCGGAAAATATCATCACTTCGGGAAATATTACGCCGAATCCCCCTCGTTCCGGGTCTATAAATGATAAATATTTCACATTCCATTATTCAAATATCCACTGAATGAATGGAATATGACCTCAAGCTGGAGGACTAGATCTTGTTTCCAAACTTGTTTCCAAACTCATTACTGTAAACTTATTCCAAACTCATTACTGTAAACTTTTGGAATGCACAGCTTAATGTTTTCCACTAAATGTTACAAAGTTTTCGTTCATTAAAATGTTGTTTTATCAGCTCTAAAAAAACAGATAAATCCACGAAACACTCCTAATACTGTATATGTTGCCATATTGATTTTCTGCGTGCATGTTCAGACAAATTGCTTACCTGTTCGTGGTTAGTATATCTGTGAAGAAAGTTTTAAATTTAGGCAAATCGGCGCCGTCGTATTCTGTAACCACAAAGAGCCTGGGTATAGCCAATTGAAATAAATAGAACTGAAACGCTGCCTTCAGATAAACTGCTTATCTTTTTCTTGAAGCCAAATGGTCAGGCCACGCGTGTTTGTGTCATGATTGACAGATTGAGCGCTCTTCGCATGCGTGAAAAGACTGGGACTGGCCTTCATGTTTGGCTTCAAATTTCAGTTCAATGGTCTAGCCCGTTTTCTGACGTCCTGAAAAGTACGGAAGTGGTCCATCAAAAGCTTGCCATTTTACCAAATTTAAACTGTCATAAAATTCGGAGGATTTGCCGAAATTCGTTTTGTTTTCGCAGAAATACTAGAAATCATGCCAAGATTTTATATCGATAAGAAAACATTTTGGGGTTTAATAGGAACACTTTAAAACTACTTGCACATTAATCCGTTTTCGAATAGCTTCGTTTCTGAAATTTCGAAAATGGATAATGTGTAATGGCCATTGAATAAATAATTATGTTTGTTCCTTTCTCCAGCTTCGTTATGCTCGATTGAACCTTGTGTTAACAATGGGACTTGCCGTGAGCACAATGATGACATCACGTGTACCTGCGCCAGCGGTTTTACTGGCAAGCGGTGTGAGGCGAAGATTATAGGTAAGACCACTGGATACTGATTAGACAGCCGTGTGTCAACACAATCTCTTCTTACGTATGATGATATACATCATATGGCCATAAATTTATGATGTATACCAAACGGGTGTATACCTTTTATTTGTGAGCAGGGGCGTAACTTGGGTTTAAGAGGTGTGGTCAGAAAAGAACGTAGAGATGCTGGGAAACTGAAAGGTTTATAAGAGTCCTCAGAGGTAGCGTCAAAGACACCATCCTCGTCCTCAGGATAAGGATAATTTAATTTTTGCCACAGATGTCAGTTATATACAAGTTGTCGGTGGCAAGGAGGCATATCGCTTGTAAATAGGATGTCTCCTCGAAGCAGTTATATCAGAAGATAATATAAATCATAAAAAGGATAAGTTAAAATGCGGTCAGGAAAAACGTAATTAGGCATCTAGCAAGTATTCCAAAATTCTATTCCTGAAGCAATTTATCGTATGTGTACTTCTGACAAACTCTGGGAGAGAATTCCACAATTTGTGACCTTGCCGAATAGGATGGTGAACTGCTTTACATTAGTTCTGCATGCATGAGCTCGGTATGAACTCTAGGAACTTTTAGGTTTTCTTGTTCTCAATCAACATGATTTGAATGTATTTTCGCCCAACAAATATTTGAATATCTGCCCTACAAAGTTGCTTTTCACGCCCTTGTTTGTGAGTAACCAACCCTATCCCTTATCCGGAGTCTAACCTTGACCCTAACCGGGACATGCCAAGGCCAGGCCATTATGTTATCGGGAGAAGAATAATAGTATTATTCTTATTCTCTAGGCTCGTTATGTGCCATTCAACCATGTGTTAACAACGGGACTTGCCACGAGAAAGGTGACGACATCACGTGTACATGCGCCAACGGCTTTACTGGAAAGCGGTGTGAGGCAAAGATTAAAGGTAAGACCGCTGAACACTGATCTGCAACGTAGATCCCCGTTCAAACTAGAGATCTGGAGACTGTAGTTTAAACGGACGTAAGGCCAAGCATTTGAGGTTGTTTGAACTCGGCTATATATATATATATATATATATATATATATATATATATATATATATATATATATATATATATATATATATATATATATATATATATATATATATATATATATATATATATATATATATATATACACACTGGATCCAGAAAAGTTTGACCTTCGAATATATATATATGTCGGCCATTTTGAATTTTCTTGGGTTAATTATACGCGAACGCATACATCAAATGTCGCTCGCAACGTACTGTATATTGCAATATTCCAACATCTCAAATAAGTAAAGGATCATTGCTTGAAGTTCTTGCACATATTTGTAGTAGCTATCCAATGAACATTTGAGGGTCAGTGTTATAGCTAATTAACTCTTGTCACAATTTGGAACTTGATCTTTTTGGCATGTCGTAATTTATTCTTTTGTATCCTTAGAGATTTAGACGCTTATTAGCATGCCTCGATGAATTTCTTTGTTTATTCTTTCGTATTCACTTGTGCTTATTTTATAGCTGTAACCTACGTCCAGAATTATTATATTTTGCCAACGGAAATTTTAACGGAATCGATAGTCATTCGATATTTTATCCCCTGAAACTCAGCACGCGCAGCATTCGTAACCTGGCGAAGCAGAAACGTTCATTTCCTACTAGCCATTATGATTATGTGCAAAGACATCAATCAATGATTCTTTTATTCATTTGAGCTGTTGGAATAACATTGCAATATACGTTGCGAGCGACATTTGATGTATGCGTTCGCGTATAATTAACCCAAGAAAATTCAAAATGGCCGACATATA